TATTCCATTAACAGTCTCCTCCACCTCATCTAATCTGCTTTTAAATCCCTCTACCATGGTTTGTTTTATTTCTGTTATATCCATTCTGAATTTGTCCCTTAGGTCTTGAATATTTTTCTGTAGCTCCTTCAGCATGCTTATGACTTTCATTTTGAATTCTATTTCAGGAAAATTGGTGATTTCAGTGTCACCAAGCCCTCTTTCTGGTGTTCGGGGGATTTGGGATTGAACAAGGTTCTTCTGCCTTTTCATGATCCTGGAACAATGGGAGTGGTTGCCGGCAAGTGGTGCAGGTGTCAGCTGGGAGGACAAAGTCCCTTCCTGCTTGCCGCCTGCCATGTCTGTCTCCACTGTCTGTGCCAGTTGACCGTGCACAGGGAATGGCTTCTGGGTTAATCCCCTTAGCTGCCGTGGGTGGGGCGGCCCTTGGGATGGCCTAGGGCAATGTCAGGGGTCACAGGTGAGCGGCTCATGTTCTGCCACAAGAACAAAACCCTTTCGTGCCTCCCGGTCTTTGCATCTGTCTCCACTATCTGTGCTGGTCAACCACATGCAGGGAGCAGCCTCTGAGTTAATCCCCTAAGCTGCTGTAGGTGGGGCAGCCCTCGGGATGGCCAGGGCACTGGCAGGGGTTGCAGGCAAGCGGCATGGGTTCTGCCAGGAGAACAAAACCCCTCATGCCTCCTAGTCTTAGTGCCCATCTCCTCTGTCTGTGCTGGTAAACCTCACACAGGGAGCATCCTCTGGGTCTGAGCTGGTCAGCCATGTGCATGGAGAAGCCTTTGTGTTAAGCTGTGTAGGTGCTGTAGGTGGGGTTGCCCTCTGGCCAGTCTGCAACAATGGCAGGGACAGCTGGTTTGTGCGCAGGTGCTGGCATGGAGGAAGGAATCACAGGTTGCTTATTGCATTGAGGGGTGTTGGGGCTGCATTGCCAATCAAGGGGATAGGGCGCCTGTAGCTCCTGAAAATTCCCAGCCTGTTGGGCTGAGTGTGCCACTTAGATTTTGTCCACCCGTTAAATCCTTGACCCTTTAAGACTTTTAAAGTGCCTGCTTTTCTTTTGTCCCAGGACAGCAGGTTGCGGGAACCTGTTTGCAGTCCCGGTCCCAGACCTTGCCTTTCAGCTCTTCCAATCTCCAGAGCACCCTGCAATGTGGATCCATGCCCCCAGAGCAGATTTCTGGGGCTGGTTATTTAGCAGTCCTGTGCTTTCACTCCCTCCCTGCTCTGATTCCTTTCCTCTCTCCTGTGAGCTGGGGTTGGGGGAGAGCTCAGGTAGGTCCCGCCAGGTCACGGCTTTTTACTCTACCTTTTTCCATGAGATGTTGACTTCTCCCGGATGTACAGTGGCTGCTGTACTGCTATTTCTGGTCACTCTTTCAGGAACAGTTGTATTTGCTGTACTTTCAAAACATATGTGGGTTTGGGAGGAGATTTTCACCACACTACTCACGCCCCCATCTTTTCCTTCTCTCCAATACAGGGTTTTAACAGGAGAGCCACACTCAGGTTATGCCTTGGAAAGACCACTCTGGCCTCCAGCGTAGGCAGGAGTTGGGGAGGGAGCTGGGGGAGCAGGGAAGTTGGGGTGCCCTAACAGACAGAACACTCTTCTCTTTCCAGACATCCCAGAGGAGCTGCACGACCAAGCCCAGAGTCTCACCCTCCCTGAGCCTCCTAGAGGAGGATGACCCTGAGTCCCTGGCTCAGCACCCACAGACTGCCAGCTCACCACCCCTCGGCAACTTTGACCTCTCCCAGAGGTCCCTGGTGGCCTTGGAGTACCTGCCTTTCTTCCGCACCTACGAGCACCTCCTGGCTGAGGAGACGTTGACTGCACAGCCAGAGATTTGCTGGGACCAAGGAGGAGGCCCGAGCTTCAGAGAGACACCATTCCCTGAGGATTCAGACCCACCCAGTGGGTTCTTCCCTTACTACCACTCCAAGGAGGAGACATTTCCCAGCCTGGCGCCTCCAGGAAGGTTGTGTGGGAGCTTCCAAGACCCACCCACCAGAAGGGAGGTGCAGGCTGGCTGCTTCTGCAGGATGACAGATAGCAGGTGCTCTGTGAGTGGGAGACCACAGAAGAGTGGGGAGCAGCCCTGGGACCCCTGGCATCCTTCAGACCTCTGTCCCAGGGCCCAAGACCCCAATAGGCCAGGCCAGTCACCACCCCCTGCCCCTCCTGCAAGGTCTGCCGGGGCTTCAGGAGCAGTGAGTCATTGGGTAAGAGCACAGAGGCTGGAGGCACATTGTCGGGCTCAATCCCTGCTCAACCACTTGCTGGGAGAGTGGTCTGGGGAAGGAGTTTAAGCAGCATGATCTTCAGTTTCCTTATAAAAGAGATATAATAGCAATAGCTACTCTTAGAGCCTTTATGAGAATTACATACAGTAATGATTATTATACCAGCCTTAGCTTGGTGTTCCCCTACAGAAGCATCTCTTTAGTCCTATGACTTAATAGGCACCATCATCTTGTTTACCTAATAATAGTCCTATGAGACAGATCTGATTATTATTCCTATTTTATGGATTAGAAAAACAAGTCTCAGAGAAGTTAAGTGAGTTGGCCAAAGACACACTGCAAGAGCAAACCTAGGATTTGACCCAAAGCCCACATGCCCTATAATGTTACACCACCAGCTGCCCCAAAGCTGGGCACCAGGCCATGACGGCCAAGATGGAGGAGGTGGGAAGAGTGGGTTCTAATCCCAGACACACTGCTCCCAGCTGGGAGCCTGGGGAGGGGTGAGCAACATCACCAAGTGTTGCCCTGTCTGTAGACATCGCCGAGTGTTGCCCTGTCAGGTCCTGCCTTCCTTCCCTGATGCTGGGCCTGGTGGTGCAGGCAGAGGCCAGTCCTGGTGTCCAGGGCCGAACCTGAGAGCCTGGCTGACTGTCTTGTCTCCTTCCAACCCAGGCTGCCTTGGCAGGCCCAGACTTCATCTCTGGGTCCTCCCACGCACGGACCTGCTGCTGCGGCACACTGCTGGTCTCTGCTCGGCGTGCCCATGACAGCTGTCTGACTGGCCCTCTCTCCGGTGATGCTGTCTTCAGGGACCATGCCCTCTGTGCCTCGGGATTCGTGCCTTATTACAGAACCCCCGAGGAGGGGCTCCACACTAGCCCTGGACCTCCTGCCTGTCCATCAGAGGCCTGGGGACTCACAGGGGAGCTGCCCAGGCCTGGTGCCTCGTACTGTGAGGGAGCAGCGGCTGGTGGAGCCACTAGAGAACAGGCTCCCAGAACCTGCCGATCAGTAAGGGGTGAAGGTGGCTGCGGTTGAGGTTCCTGGGACTCAGTTCACTCTGGGACCAGGCTGAACACACAGCCCTGAGGTCCTCATTCCCCCTGCCTCAGTGCCCACACCTGCAGAACTGACAGGAGCTGCCCAACCCCGGCAGGCTCTCCTGTCTCCTCTCAGTCCACGGAGATGCGTGTACTGTACCCCACTGGCCTGTGAGTCCACGTCAGTGTTCAACTCAGCAGCCCTGGAGTTTGACTTTCCCCTGGAGAAACAGGGGAAGCTCTGCCTGTGCCCACATTCAGCCACAGCCTAGGAAGTGGCCCCACTGCCCCAAGGTGCCCCAGCTTGGCTCTCCCAGCTGGACAAACTGCCCAGGGAGAAGTAGAGAACAGCAGCCCCCAAAGAGGCCCTGCAGCAGGGGTGTCCGCCTGGTCCAGCACTCAGGCCTCCCCACCTGGCCTGCTGTGGGTTGTCCCCAGCTGGCAGGGAGGGAGCAGGGTCCACCTGCTCTGAGGGCTTCAGAGACCAGAGACTGGCTTTGTAAATAAATCGTTTGACTCCAAGGGAATTGCTGTGCTAATGTGATGCTTTGGAGTGATATCTATAGTTTCTATTTATTGAGCATTTACTATGCACCTTTCAGAGATCATCTCCATAATCCTCAGGAGTAGGCGCTGGAGTTATCTCCATCCTACAGATGAGAGGCTCCATCCTACAGATACAGGCTCAGAGAGGTTCAGTCCCGAGCCTGAGCTCACACAGCTCACAAAGCTTAGAGCTGGGACGCGCACCCAGGTCCGTCTGACTGGAGTACCTAAGCACTTCCCTGCACGCCTCCTCGGTGAACGCTCACCCCCTCTGCCTCTCCTTTCCTCAGAGCCTCTCTCTCCTTCCCTGTCTCCCTGCCCCTTGGAGCAGCAGGCTGGGGACAGACGCATGGCACACAACTGTGAGGCTCTTCCATCTTCCTGGGCTCGGTGGACACATTTCTGGCGCCCCAGCCCGACCTCAGCTGGGGCTCACCCTGCCACAGCAGGCAGCTCTGAGGCCCGAGCCCACGGGACGGTGCCGGTGTGTGCCCACCCACCCACCCCCTCCAGAGACCGGGCACGTGAATGTTTGCCGCTGTTTGAAATAGTCCTCCGGTGCCCATTCCCATGATCTCAGCCGCACTGTCCCGTGTTCCCTCCCCGCCCTCTGCCCCGCCCGCCTCTGATGGCTGGAGTCCGGCTCCTTCACCCGGAGGGATGCCCTGCTCCTGACCTCCTCCTGAGGGCAGGGAAGTTGAGGGGAGCAGTGAGAGAAGTCACTTGGTCATACTTCAGTCACATCCAAGAACTTCTTTTTTAAAAATCCCTTTTTTAGTGTTTCCGAGGCACCCCCACGACTCCGCTTCGGGCGTCATGGGGTGGGGAGTATGGAGGGAGAAATGTGAGTGCCCTCGCTAGAAGACTCCTAGGCTCTACTTGGAGGTGGGGTCGGGCTTTCCGCTTTTCTGTTCCACAGGGCTGGGGCTGGGCTGGCTGGCATCCCTAGGTTCCCGCTGCCCTCAGAGAAACAGACTTGGGTCGGGAGGTGCCTGGCATGCCCTAGACACTGGGGCCACCCCATCTCTGGGTGTCCAGGGTGCGTCTGGGTGCGGCTCCCTCTGCCCAGGTGTGTGGTCTGCTGAGCAGAAGGACTGGGAGCGCTGCCAGCCGCCTGCCACTGCTCCTGAAGAGCTTGGGGAGCCTCATTTGCCCACAGGGCTGAAGAGACCCTCAAGTTTTTCTAGACTGAGGGTTCTCTTAGGGGAGCAATCCGCAGAAAGGATGTGGCAGGAGAGGTCCTGGGTAAGGGACTGAGCTCACCTGGAAGAGCAGTTTGCCCCTCGTCCACCCTGCTGGCATTGACATGAAGACACATCAGGACCCAGGCACAGCAATGGTAAGAATTAACTTCCATTGTTTACGGTGTGCCAGCCATGGTGCCGAGCACTTTACATGCACTGATTGTGAGTTAGGTGCGACTTCATTTAGGTACAGTTAATACCCCCATTTTACAGCTAAGAATGCCTAGGCAGAGGTTGATTACACAGCTGATTCAAGAACAGAGCTGGAAGCAGTGGAGCCAGGATTTCAACACTGACTCTGCAGCCCATGCTCTGAGCCATTAGGCATAGATTATAATAACATTAGGCTTACCTTAGTTTATATTAGATCTCTAGTTCTATACAATAAATTATCTCAAAACTTAGTGACTTAAGATAAACTCTATATACTTATTTTCTCATGGTTTTGAGGGTCAGGAATCTGGGAGCAGCTTTGCTGGGTGACTCTGGCTCAGGGTCTCTCACCAAGTTGTGGTCAAGGTATTGGCCGGGGCAGCAGCCCCCTGAAGGTTTGGCCAGAGCTGGAGGTCTGGCTTCCTCACTCACATGGCTGGCTGGTGGTGAAGAGCCCCATTTCCTTCCTCTGGGGTCTTCTCCACAAGGCCGCTTGGGTAGCCTTACCACATGGTGACTGGCTTCCCCCGGAGCAAGTGATCTTAGAGACCCAGACATAAGCTGTAATGCCTACTACAACTTAGCCTCAAAAGCCACGTATTGTTACCTCTCCTGTAATTGTGGGTCACACAGATCAGCTCTAATGCAGTGTGGAGGGAGACCTCACAAGCGCATGAATGGGGAGAGGCGCTGGAGGCCATCCTGGGGACAGGCTGCAGAAATGCTCTGTGTGAGATGCTGTGCCAAACGCTGGTGATGCACGGGGACTGAGCCCATTCATGAAGGCAGGCGCTGGGGCTGCGGTGGGGGACTCAGGGAAGATGGCGTTAACACACGACCAGGGAGGGATGTGCTAAGGGAAAGGGCTGTATCCCCAGCACCCAGAACTATGCCTAGTTTGTGGAAGATTCTTGAGCATTAATTAGACGAGTGGATGAGGCACCAGCAAAGACAGGAAAGGGGGCACATTCTCCTTATATATAGGGGAGGAGCGAAGGAAGGGGGAGGGGAGGACAGCGAGGCTGTCTTAGTCACTGTGGGTGCCCAGATGGAAGTGGGGGCTCCACAGGCAGGGGCCTTTGGGTGGAGAGGTGGCTGATGAAGCGACAGGGAGGAGCAGAACCAGAGCCCAGCTGCTGGGCTAGGAGACCAGGCTGCAGGCCCCATGCAGGCCTGGGGCAACGGGCGATTTCCCTTCTGTCCTCTACCCCCAAGTGGGCTTGTAGCTCATTTAAGGCTGGTTCTTCTGAACCTTCTCCCTGGGTACAATTTTTGTCACTCAGGAAATCTCTATTTTGGAGAAAGTTGAATCCATATGATTTGGGGATTTTGTTATTTTGAAATTTTTTCTTCGTACTTGCATCAAAGATGAGATGTCTTTGGAGTCCTTTAAAGTCTCCCCTCTCTTACAGACAGGAAGTTTGTTCTTCACCATGTTCCACTGAGCCTGGGGCAGAGAGAAGTGGGGTTTGGGTGGGCTCTTTTCACACCCCGTTTTCTTCTCAAGGTGTGGAATCTTAAGTCAGGCCTTTCTTTTAACAGAAGGAGAAACTGAGGTTCAGAAGGAAGAGTGTATCCAAAGCATAGCAAGTGGGGACACCTGGCCATCCCTAGGAATGGGAGGGACTGATAATTCTAGTGCCTGACCTATGCCCCCTGCACATCCCCAGTCCTGCCCCCAACCTCACGCAAGGGCACTCTGCAATTGCTGAACATGCATGCGCTGGGGTGAGTACCCTGCCTGTTTGGGGGCAGGGGAGGAGAGAGACGCCATAGCCCTCCCTCAGCTTCCCTGGGGCGAGCCCACCAGGGAGCAAAAGCTGGTTGGCAAGGAGCCCGAGCCTGCTGAGCACAGGCCAGGGAGGTTTGTGCAAGTGAGATGCAGCTGGAATGCCCCCAGATGGGTCCTCTGTCCGCCTGCAGGAAGCAGGGGGAGGACAGAAGGCCACTCACCGGCAGAGCCCCCGGGCCCACCAAGGCTGTCCATCCTCAGCCCCCCCCGCCCACCCCCCCACAGCAAGCAAAGCTCTTCAGGCCCACTTGCTCCCCTCGCCCGGCTCAGGCTCTCCCTGGGCGCATCATGCCCTCTCTACCGCCTGCACGGGGCAACATCCAGCTCGCTCAGAACCACCTCCTCCCGGAGGCTTCTAAGTCTGCCCTGAGACCTCCTCTTTACGGACCCCTCTGGCCTCTATTCTCTCAGCTCAGACAAGGAATGGAGCTTCCTAGTCTCCCCCAGGGCCCTGAAGCTTCTGTTTGATGCCCGTGTGATGGGGGAGACCGGCCCCACGGCAGTGCTGACGCAACATTCCCTGCACAGACTCCTCTCCCTGCATCCCAAGCAGTTTAGCCCACAGCAGGTGCTCAGCAGGGCCTTCTGGATGTGGCCTTAACAGCTGCCATGGCACCTTCGACCCCTCACCTATACCCCTCTTCTACAGAAACTGTTCAGTTCCAGATCTGCCTGCCCACTGACCTGGCCAGCCCCTGCCCGTCTTCAGCACCAGCCCACTGTGTCCATGAGCTGGGAAAAGACTGAAGAGGGCCAGGCTTGCCTTGTTCCCAGATGTGCACAGACGCAGGGGAGCCTGTCAGGGAGGGAAGGCCAGAGGGCATCCCAGAGCACTCTCCTTGGTTACAGAGGCACCTGCTCCCGCATACCTAAGAATACGAGTGTAGTTGGTGCATGTTAATGCCATGTCACTGATGGTGGAGAAACCCTGGTAGAGAAGTTAGAACACTTATGCAGAAGGGCCAGGGCAGAAGTTGGGGCAAAACCTTTTGGGAAAGTCACCTCCACTTTCTGAGCTACCAGAAGGTAGCACCGTGGTTAAAAGCTGAGCCTTGGAGTCAAATAGCAGGTAAGAATCCCTAATCCTCCACTCACCTGCTGTGTGGCTTCGGGGAAAGTTCTTGACCCCCCTGAGCCTCATTCTTCTCACCTGTAAAATGGGGACCTGCCTCATAGAATTCAATGAGATGGTGTAGGTGGAGCATGTAGAGCACCAGGACAGCTTGGAGTCTTGAGGTAGAAAAGAATCTGGTACATTTGAGGCCTTGATGAATCAAGGGAGGTGAAGAGATTGGGAGTGTTAACCTCTCTTTACTGGGGTGCTCTCCTAAGTACAGTCAGCTCCCAAGAAGCCCCAGATAGGTACTCATCAACCCCTCAGGCGTCCACTCTGGCACCCTCAGACTCCTCCTGAGCCTCCTGTGCCAGCACCTCTTTCATTGCCCCAGTGTACATGGGTCCGACTGGGCCAGCACCCAGGGCGGGGGAAACTGGGCCAGGAAACTCGCCCTGGGGCTGCCAAGCAGTCCTGCCTGCCCGAGCCCCAAGTGCTGTGCAGCAGCGCCCTCTGCTGGCACGTCTTGACAAGACACGCACAGTTGGTGTCTTGGCCCAGAATTCAGACTTCTCTGGACACTGCCCGAAACGGGCACTACCCTCCAAAGAACAGAGAGGTAAATTGAGGCCCGGACTTGCCCACGGGTTCCCAGTGAGTCTGAAGTAGCACCAGAAGCAGAACCCAGGCAGCCCAGCCTCCCAGTGGCTGCTTTGCCC